CTGTAGTTTATATTCTATCCCTTAATGCCAGATAAAACTGGATAGAATCTAAACCCTAATATAGACAAAAATATAACTTGGTACTCACTGCAGGGAGTGACAGAGAGCGCATTTTCTGGTCAACAAAAACGTGAAGTCACGGATGGACAGACAGACAGACAGACGGACATGGCAAGCACAATGGTGCATTTTTTCCATAAATGAGAAAATGCGCTTAAAATACTAAAAATAGACTAAAAAATACACTATGACATTAAAGGGATACCTACTGACCTATTGCACTCAAGTTGCCACTTGTCAATACTCAATAGAAATGGTAATGTTGGAACTAAAAAGATGTTTTGATATTTCAAGAAAATTGCAGTTCACTTTTGTTTTAAAATAAATCATTTCTATTGAAAGTTGGCAACTTAAGTGTTGTGGCATAGTGGCAAAGCAGAGAGTTTTTAGACTCTTCCTCAAGTTCATTTTTGAGTCCGATAAGTAGACCAGTGAAGTATCATGGATACCAGCATTAGCATACATAAGATATTGGTTTAAATCTTCAGAAAATGAGGAAATTAAAACTGAAATGATTTTAACGACTTACAGTACCAGACACCAGACTCAATACAGACTTACAGTAAAGACAAATTTTATTGTTGCCATTTGACTGTTTTAGGGTAAAATTAGAGATTTGGGGTAACACGTGCATGGACTTTGTAAATAAATTTGCGCCTCGTAAATGGCTTTTCATGGCCGAGATATGGAATTCACGGCTCGGTGAAATGGAATCACGGCTCGAAGAAATGGAATCACGGCTGGCAAATCCATAAAACCACAGCCTGAAAAATTCAGTCGCGGCTTGCCAACTTGCCAAGTAGATATATTCCATGCCTGACTTGAGTGACATCTTGTTTAACATGTCATTGACAAATGACCCTAAGTTCCTGATTGATGGCAGTTTTTATCATTTTTAAATAGACATTATGATATAGATTTATACCTAAAGTGTTCTTCTATTCCCTGACTGATTACTAAATACCTAGGTCTATTGTTTGTAATTAAAAAATATTTTATGAGAACTACAGACAATTTCAATATACCGGAAGATAATTCTGATGTATCAACACAATGAACACATATTCCAAGACTCACATTTGATACACGGTTGTTTACTGTTGACACAACTTAGACATAAAAACCTAAAAAAGCAACAGCAACAACGGAGCTGTGACCTTTAGAGCTACAATAGTTTAATGTACCGGGAGTAGTACATGCAGAGGATGTCAGACGACTTCTCAAGCATTCAAATTATTTTTAAAAATATGAACAAAAATTTTCATAATGCAGCAAACTTCAAACTGAACATTCAAAATTCTCTTTATTCAGTAAATAAAAAAGTAAAATTTGATAGGTTTGAACCAAAAATCCGGTGGCTGATAACCAAAACCATTCTAGTTATGAAAAATATGGCTGATTGCAGATCAATCATTCTTTCATAAATATCAAAGGCATAGTTAAAACATCTTTACCTATACATTTTGTAGGTTTTAAACAATTTCTCACTGCTATGGAAAATTTTTTGTATATGAGAATTAAATTTTACGAACGTATGACAACATGAAAAATGTCAATGAATCTCATGTACGAGTTTTGGCCAGCTAATTTAGGAACTGCTTACCAGCTTTGAATACATTAGTCATACCACTCAATATACGAAATATCAATTAATACTGGTACACAAAAATTATCTAATAAAAAATCAGGTTTGGCAGTTTGCGGAATTTTTTTAGGCATTAAGATCGTAAGCTAATAAATCCGATTAACTTCTTGGACTGAACAGACGCAGTTACGAGTATCTAGATGCAGAAGCAATAAAGCAGTTGTTTATTGCTGTCGTGCGCCCGAACCTAGAGTTTGGAAAGGCTTGTGGTCACCGAGACGTGAAAAGGACAATTATTTAATAGAGAATGTTCAAAGACGTGCAACAAGGATAATTCCAGAACTAAAAGGCAAGTCTTATGAAGGAAGATTAAAGATTATGAAGCTTCCAAGCCTCAGTTATTGACGTCTGCGTGGGGACCTCATTGAAGTATACAAGTATACTCATGGCTTATACAAGGTCCCCGAAGAAGTGCTAGAATTTGAAACAAGACCAACACCAGGGGCTACAGCTATAAACCAAAATTCAATATTCATTGAATTCAAAATGCATTTCAACTCATCCATGCGACAACATTTCTTCTCGCTTCGAGTAACCGACGTGTCGACGTCTGCGTTGGGACCTCATTGAAGTATACAAGTATACTCATGGCTTATACAAGGTCCCAGAAGGGTTACTAGAATTTCAAACAAGAACCAACACCAGGGGCCACGGCTATAAACTGAAAAAATTATAACTCAGTGCTCACTGCAGTGAGTGACAGAGAGCGCATTTTCTCGTCGACGAAAACTTGAGGTCACGGACGGACTGGCAGACAGACAGACGACAATATTATTAATGACACGATGTGGACGAAAATGACAATTTTGACCTGCTACTCAGTACAGATCAAGGTTATTTTAGCTTACTTACCCCTCGCGGGTAAATTGTGTATGCTCAGTTGTACTAGGTGGGGCTGCAGGCGTTTCTATTCATTGGTAGCCAGATCTAGGATTTCCAAATGAATATTGAACCATAGTTCTGGAGGAATCTCCACTAACTTATACATCTTCAAAAACAGACTAGAAGAAGCTATGCAGGAGCATATGTTCAGTCTTAAAATGCCTAGCAAATTACGGACCAGGCAATAAGACTAGACGAAGCTATGCAGGAGCATATGTTCAGTCTTAAAATGCCTAGCAAATTACGGACCAGGCAATAAGTCCAGCAGCTATCTCAATCAATCGTCAGTTATGGAAAGATCGGGTTCTAAAAGGCCGGATCCCTTGTGAATCAAGTCACGAAAAGTTCAAGAATCGGCAACAGGCCATGGGCCTATTTCTTCAGCGCCGACACTTCTATTCTATAAGCGAAGGTGAAATTCTTGGTTAGTTCCAGCTGATGGTTATTAATGCTCTTTTACGGCTGGTTGCCGTATTGAGCTATTCTCGTGTTGTGGGGGCTAATGCCTCTGCACTCGAGTATGTTTGCCGGCGGTCTGGTAGAGCTGCAGATATACCGTTCGCGCTTCTCGTGTCGTGAGAGTTAATAGCTTCCACGCTCGGGAGTAATCGGAACTTGCATTGGGGCTCGAACCCCTGATCATTGCCTTGGTTGCTGGCATCGTGCTGCAGCTCGTACCTGTACTCTTGCTATCCGATTTTATGTTTCTCGACAGTTTATTAGGACGCCTCAACGTTGTATCCCTAAAGTTGAGATCCTGTCTCCCGGAGCTTTTGGACTTATAATAATAGTAATATAGCGGTTTCAGCACATATTAGGCCGTCCAATCTGGTTACTCTGAACTTTAAGCACTGGGCCACCCCAGCGAATAATAAATTGTGTGCCTTGTATAGTGAAATTTGTGTATCGCCTGAAGATCACCAATATATTACGAAGTTCATTCCTCCTCTCTCCGACGCAAGAGAATTTAGAGCTGGACCAAAGAGCGACTCTTTAGCCCTTGTGTTAAAACGGAAGTCACCGTCAAGTAGGCACGCTACCCATGATTATCTCGATTTCGCGGCGGTGTTTCAGGTTACATACGCATGTGAGATTCCTGCATGCCTTCACCAGTCGCACATCACTTGACCAAGTGTGGTCGCAGTACGCAAGCACGCGTTCCATTCAATAGATTTGCTGGTGTATAGTGCGGAGACGACACGTATTTACTCTACACTTCCATGATTGTGACGCGATATTGGACTAGACTTGATTTGTAGCTTCTGCGTTCAGCTCACCTTCCAACGAGACCTCAGCCCGTTTCCGAAGATATTATTGACGCTCCGAGTATGAACGCGCTCAAGAATACGCTAGAAGAAGCTATGGACAAATATATGCTTGGACCTGAAATGCATACCACCAAATCGAACCTGGCGAAGGTCTAGAGGCTATTTCAAACTATCATTAGTTTCGAAAATATCCGGTCGAAGGACCTGTTTTTAGATCTCCTACAGACAAATCACGAAAAGTATAACAATCGGCAATAGGCCACATCAGGCCTAATCTTCAGCGCCATCACTATATCTAAAATACCAATTCAACTTACGATCGCCGTCATGTAGCAGGGCACGACTAAGACAAAGGTATCGTCATGCGAGAAATGGCACCTATATATACCTACAAAACGTGAAAATTGTACATGAATGGTTTGAATTTAGGTATAGTTTATAACAAGAATTTATTTAAAACCCCAATAGGGTACACTACCGGTCACTGAAATTTCAACTCAACAGGAATAATGAATCTAAAAAAAAACAGGAAAGTGTCCAGTTTTTAGGACAGAGTAACAGCGCCAATTTATGGTTTATGATCATATTCAAGTTAATAATGAGTTGTATTAGTATATATCTACACTTACATTCAGGTCACATTGCATTGAATTTATTGACAAATTGCGTAAAATTTATAATTTAAGGAATGAATAATATTAGACCTTTAATAATAATATAATGTTAAAGTGCAAAAATCATCCTAAAGAAATCAGAACAATCGAAAAGCAAGCTTACAATCTGGCGGTAATACTTCTCTGTTACTTTCAAGAGAAATACAAACATTTATTACAAAACTTTTATTTGTAAACAAGTTGTATAGAAAAGTAAACTTCTACACAATACAAGGAATACAGAAGGACATGTCAACTGGAAACGAACGTAGACGCAACAAGAAAAACAAATATCCTTTTTAAATGTTCAAGTCTTCTACACAAAAACAAAAATATGAATATAATGTTCCTTTTCTCAATAACACAACAGAAGCTCTAACGCAGTCTTCATTTGTTCTGTAAACAGAAGAATCCGCATTTGATGTACATTTTTGGGCAGCAAAAGGAAAATCTTTTTGTGACGTTCATTTGCTGTACACTAAAAAACCTCAATGCAAAGTTCATTTATTAAACACAGAAGTAAAACCCGTACGTACTGTTCGTTTCTTTGATAGAAAATAAAATTCCGTAGGCAACATTAATTTGTTCAAGCCAAAAAACAGAAATGCCTGCCTAACGTTCATTAGATCTGCACAAAACAAAGACTCCTAAGCAAAGTTCCTTTGTTGAACACTAAAGAAGTCGAGCTAATCCTGAAAACTTCAATAACAGGCCTAGTTTCAGGGTTAAGACACAAAATAAATGTTATAAGAGAATATTTTACGGAATAAACAGATGAAAGGTACAGATTATGTAGCTGGCAATCCAACCCTCCTGTGCAAGCAATACCCTGGCTTCTCCTTGTTGTACAATAGGGACCAACATATATACTAAAATGTTTCACAGCCAAAACCATACGCATGTCTTCAGGAACACTAGAAGATACCTTAGAATAAAGGCCTAAGACTGGATCAATGCACCAGGACATTTTAATGTAAAGTCTTTTTTCGTTCTTACAAAATGCCACCGCTACTGCTTTCCAATACCTCAAAATCAAAAACTGGCTAATGACTAAACCTAACTAAACATACTGCATGTTATGACATCAATGAAATTTGAAACATAGCAGATAAATGCATCAGATTTACAAATCTTCGAAGGCCAAAGCAGATTTCTCGGTACCGAGAAGGTGTTTGTTCTTGCGCCAGAACTCGTGTCCGATGACGTCGTCAAAACAAAGCACCAGATCGTTCTGCAGCGACGAGATGAAGACCTGATGTCTGGCCACCTGCTCGGAGATGGTCTTCAAACGACCGTCTGCCAGCTTGTCCAACTCGGATGTCTTTGACTTCACACTTTCGTTAGGTTCAGTACCGATGGGTGGAGTAATGTTCATTTTGGGTACGTCGATGGTAATGTTTTCTCCAGCTTTTGGGTTTTCGGTTTCATCACTAAAATCTTTCTCGGGTTTTGGCGATTCAATTTTCATCCTGTGGAATTCAGAATCCAAGTTCTGTTCATCACCAATACTTATTGACTTATGCGCATCTTTTGATGCTTCTGCTTTGTCTGTCAGTCCCATTGCGATTGTTGAGACTTTCTTTTCATCATCAGCTTCACATTTTTGCTCAACTACCTTCACTTTCTTCTGACGATCTTTAGCAGACATTTTTCTCATCTCCCGCATCTCAGCCTTGGACTTGGAGACCAGGACTCGGAACTGCAGGCTTGCCATGCGGAACTTGAATTCATTCTCCTGTGTAGGATCTTTTTTGAATGCCTTCATGGTCTCCATGCGAGACACCTTTGCGTTATGACACTCGTACGTCCACCATGACTTGCCCTTTTTGTTGAAAAACCGAGATGGTGTCTCTTTATTGTCCCGCGGTTTCTCAGTCGATAACGTGGCTGGAATCATTTCAAGGTCTTCGGCCACGTGACCAGAAGCCAGGGCCACAGAACTGAGAGGCTTTTCACCTTCCAGCAACTTTTCAGAACTTGAATCACTTGATGTGTTTGACGTCGAAGTGTTCGTGAGCGTTGAATCTGAGTCTTTGCTTGTAGACAAAGACTTAGTTTCGTCAGATGAAACCTCTATGGCTGGATGCGTTAGTGTGAAACTTGCGTTAAATTTCGCCTTGGCATTCCTAATGACTTTTCTGGCATTAATTTCTTCTTCCAACAAACTCCTGAGAGTTTCTTGAGACGGCGACACCTCATACAACTTGCGGAGGTTGTTTCTCTTGGCCTTAGCGGCCTCACACTCAGCGTTCCACCAGGCAGCGCTACGGCCATCCTTACGAGCCTCCCTCACAATAGCGCTCGCCGCCTTCAGCTTGTTCTGCGTTCGTGCCTTGACGCGCTTGCGGTAAATGACGCTACCTTTGCGGTGGATGGTAGGTTCCTCATCATACTCTATGCCCATTTCCAGGAGTAATGCCCGCTTGTCCCGCGAGAAAGTCCCGCTAAGCTTTTTATCAGCCTCAACATTGGAGTAACCTCTCAAGTTGATGAGACCCCAGAACGCGGTGTTGTACAAGTTATTAATATGACAGTCAGCCTGCCGCCAGCTGAGGTAATCCCTCAAGGATGTGTTCGTAGGATATTCAATACTCCTTCCGTCGAACACAGGCAGGGTTTTCAAGCGACAGTCCTCCCCGAAGCACATCCTCCAGTTCTTCACGTAAGCTCCAGTGAACAGAGACACGCATTGGGCAACTAGTGCACTAGTAGACCTCGGGTACCGCGATCCGTATCGGTCAAACACGAAACTGTACTCGTCGCTCTCGCCGTAACTGATGACGATATCAGGCATCCAGTGCATGACGGTGGCAGCAGCGATGTTCATGAGCTGAATGGCGCGCAGGTCGTTGGGTTTCTCGAAGTTGTGTTGCTTGGAGAGCTTGTGGAAAGCTCTGCCGTCTATGCGCACCACCACCCACGCATGCGGCGTGAGAGACTCCAACCTCTCGAACTTGAGCAGCTTCTCAAACTTGGCCTTGAGGACAGTTTTGTCCTCAAGGATGTCTTTCCAAAAATCATCTTTTGTCAAATCTTCGATATAGAAATACACTCTAGTGGGTAATCTCACACCCTTGAGTATAGTAACAGGGATCTTTTGCCTGACCAAGAACACACCTTTCTTCAGTATCTCAGGCTCATTGTTGTAGTTAATGCCAAAGCGAGAGAAGAGTTGCTCGTTGTAGAAGGCTTTAGAGGCTGAAGAAATGCCAGCGCGTTTTGATTTTCCATTGGTTTTAGGACTTGAACTTTTTGCTGTCTTGGTCAATTCAGAGGTGCTGATGGAAGCAAGCAATTGGTCGTCATCAACACTCCCTGTAAGGGCGTCTGTAGCACCTTCAGGAAGATCATTCCTCTCAGGGGACTCTTGAGATTCATCATCAGTTGGCACATCCTTGGCAGAAATATCATCTTTTGGACCATTTTCTTCAACACAGTTTGATGATTCCGAGGTAACAGCGGGTGTGTCACTGATGCACATTTCATTGGATGAACCTGAACCTAGTGTTTTGTCGCCCTGGCTGCTGATGGCTTCTTCTAGAGTCAGTTTGAGATTTTCGCCATGATGGTTCATGTGATGCATTGTAACAAAATCTCGCAGATGTTGGTCCGAAGGGAGGAGATAGACCTTCCCTGTAAAACACGGAGTGTGGAGCACAGGAGTTTTCATGAATTCTTCCCAGTTAGAAACACAGGAAGAAGTAAGACAACTGGCAAAGTAAGAGACCAGTTTAGCACAGCGCCTCTGGTATGCGGATGTTGTTTTGTCGAACACAAAATGCACGGACTGGGAGTGGAGATATGCAAGCTTGAGTTCTTTGAACTGCTGCATGACTTCATTGCTGCTCTGCCGCAGGAGGTATGCAAACTTCATGCGACTGTCTTTGTCGCGGTAAACATGGCGTCGGAATTTGTCGTTCTGGTTCACTAGACTCACAACAATCCAGTGGTCGGGGGCTAAAGCATCGTTTCTTTCAAAGGAACGCACGTAAGAAAACTTAGAGTTGGCCATTGTTCTAAATATGGTAGAATTTAATACCTTAACCCTGCAAGAAAAAATAGAAGGAAAAGTTACTACACAGATTTTTAAGAATGGAAAACCAAACATCAAAGACAGGCTACCATGAACTGAAGTACAAATGACGTCATGAAGTTATTGCTCAATGTTATAGAATTAGAATTAAATGTTTAATGGAATATAAAGTTTCTACAACATCCAAATACAAAACGGTTATATATATATTCTTAGAAGCTTGGCTTTGGACGGAAATTTACTTGACCTATGAAATCAATTCATATAAATAGGCACATGGAAATCAGTATCTACAAATGCACATGAGCTTCTCAACTAGCATACACATGAACCAATAATTTACTAGGTAAGTAAAATGTTTTCTCAGTAAAGAATTTATATCTTTTAGGCCCAATAAAACCATATGCAGACCTAGATGAAAGCTAAGAGAAATAAATAGGTAACTGTTAAAAGAGTGAAATGTAGGACTCTATTACTCCTAGCAGGAGTTTATTGTCTATGCCAAACACAGTAGATGATCTCGTCTAGAATGCTATTGGTCATAAGAACATTTCACATCCCACAGAGGGCAGAGCAGATGAAACGTCTAAGAGAAAACAGATTTTGCTAACAATAATTTAGATAAACTCAAATTCTATAGCTTTAAAGACCACATAAACAAAGAGCAGGCGTCTGTTAATGCCTTGTGAGGGACGAAGTCTTCAGTAGAACTAGTATCAGTTCCTGAGATGAAGAGGCTGAGGAGCTGTAGCTTGGAGGAGTTGGTCAGGCTATGAAATCTGAAATAAAAAACCATAGCTAAAATCCATTAAATAAATTAATATCAATTAACTATATCTAATAATATCTTTATGAAATCCATAAGATAAAAGAGTCGTAAGGTGTGTGCATGGTGGAGGCAAGCGAGAGCGACACAGATGTGCGCACTACAGCGGCCAAGGCGGTACTGGGCTTACTGGACTGGCTCAGAACAACTTGAAGTGCATGTGCTACGGGTGCAATGCACCAGCTAGTTGCCTATGAAGACATTAATCATCACAAATATTTGGAGTCGACTCAACTAATTGATGTAACTACTCGCCCCAGTGTATAAGCGCTTATAGTTAAGGCATCTTTCTCAACAATACTATTTAGGATATTGCATAATATTTTTGAATCTGTGCAGTCAAGAAAGCCATTCTGAAAAAATAGAAAATCTATTTTTCAGAAACATAGGTAAATTTCCTTTATTTGGGGCAATTCTAAACAGAAGAACAAATATATATGTAGAACCTACCAGCTTCTGAGGGAGGCAGACAATTGGTGCAGCAGGAGACCCTTGGAGTTCTGCCAGCAGACAGCAGCAAGCAATTTACTTCGTAGTCTGGAAAACAATGGTTTAAATTAATCAATGTTCAACAACAGATAAATTCTACACATGGTTATATATGTGGGAATAAATTCTTGGTTTATTATTAGCTAGAAAAGAATAAAAATTTATGCTATGGAGAGATTCATCTTTAAATCAATGATAATTCTAGGCTTTGTATAGTATTTCAGCAGGAAAAATTTTACTTGTATTTTTCACAGGATTCTAACTCTTAAAGGCACAAGATGCTTGGACAATTTTCTTAAGTATTGTTATAAGAAACAATTAGTTGAAGTAGTGTTTTACATATGTCTCTTATACACATCTAGATGTGTATAAGAGACAGATGTACCGGGAGCAGTACATGCAGAGGATGTCAGACGACTTCTCAAGCTTTCAAATTATTTTTAAAAATAGGAACAAAAATTTTCATAATGCAGCAAACTTCAAACTGAACAATCAAAATTCTCTTTATTCAGTAAATAAAAAAGTAAAATTTGATAGGTTTGAACCAAAAATCCGGTGGCTGATAACCAAAACCATTCTAGTTATGAAAAATATGGCTGATTGCAGATCAATCATTCTTTCATAAATATCAAAGGCATAGTTAAAACATCTTTACCTA